ATATGCACGCATTGCACCGTTGCAGCGCACTTGGCCTCAGTACGGGGGGGGGGGGAGTATTGTGGTTTTATGACGCCGTGTTACCTGGTAGGAGCAGAACCATCGAGAAGCTCGTGATGCAGGGATAAGGAGCATTTCCGTTCTGCACAGCGTCCAGACCGGCTCTGGGGCCCACCCAGCCCCCTAGCCAACGGGTACCGGGGTCACTTTCCCCTGGAGGTAAAGCAACCTCACCTCCGTCTAGTGCTTAAGTTTAAGAATGCGTGGAGCTATACCTCCACTCCCCCATACGTCGTGCTTAATTAAACAGAACAGGCCTACCTTTACAGAGCAGGCACTGGCGAAAGGAGCCAGCCTGGGCGCCCTGACTAGGTCACTGAAATTACTAAGCTCACACGCTGCTTAGTCACATGAATGTCAGGAGGTGCGAATTTGGAAGGAACCGCTCGTTGTGACGTAGAGAAATTGTCCCTGTGCTTAATTAAGCACCACACCACGAAGATCAATGTGAGAAATAAATGGAAGTGAGTAGTTGATTTGTACTCTTCTCCAAGTATAACTAGAATGATCAAGTGAAGGAGGATGAGGTGGGCAGGGCATGTAGCACGAATGGGGAAGACGAGGAATGCGCATAGGATATTAGTGGGAAAGCCAGAAGGAAAGAAACCACTGGGAAGACCAAGGCGTAGGTGGGTGAACAATATTAAAATTGATCTTAGGGAGATAGGATGGGATGGTATGGATTGGATCGATCTGGCTCAGGATAGGGAACAGTGGAGGGCCTTTTGAACACGGTAATGAACCTTCGGGTTCTATAAAATGCTGGGAAATTCTTGAGTAACTGCAGAATTGGCGGCTCCTCCAGAAGGACTCAGCTCCATAAATATGTAAGTAAGTAGTTGATTTCACTCTCCGGCCAATTTAACCCCCCGCAGAAGAAGCGCCAGTTAGCCGTAGGACAGGAGGCTGGGTGGGCTGGACGGTGTGGAGGAAAGATAATTCAGTTGCAAGTGCCGAGGATCGAACCCTGATTTTCCCGGTTGTCTGGTCGCTATACAGACTGCGCTGAAGTGCTGATGGCACGGACCTGCAATTCACCTGAAGACTAAGGGCGTCCTGGTAGACCATCGACCTAAGAAGAAACTATGCGACCGGCATCGAACTGGGCACTAACGGGATACAAAACTCCTTGGGGCGCTGTCTCTCTCCGAGCCCGAGTGAGGTGAGAAACAAATGAGAGAGGAAACTGTCCCTTCGGAAGACGCCGGCGGTGGCGCCGGGTGTCGCAACAGTCAGCGTCACCATTAGTGGGGCTATTAGCACTGCTCACCCTTCCTCCGGCGTAATGGCTAAATCACGTGTGTGAGAATCGATATAACAATCGACATGCAACCTCAGTTTATTTGCGTCTCTAGGCAGCATGAAACTCAGGTTGGAACAGCTTCACAACCCGCGAGCACAAACGCAGTGTCGCAACACATACCTCCTGGGACGTGGTGTCGTGTGAACCGGTAAATGTTTACGACTTAATACTGCTTCCATCTTAAGGGTCGAAAATGAAGCCACGTCGCAGAAAAGCTATTCCGTTAGAACTTCAAGGGGTTCAAGCAAAATGAGTTTTCATTTGGACTACATAGAGGCGGCTGGGAAAACTGTCGACTTGGGATGCAGACAGCGCGCATGTATTTACTTGCTGCGTCATAGTTACGTCACTTATGCACAGAACTCCAGGAATGCGACACTGTTGCACTGCTAGCATAATGTGAGCTTAGCACTGATATGCTAACTACTGACACAGGCGTCGCAGAAAATTACTAAAATGAACGCTATTATCAGCACTGTGAAGCCGACTGGCGGTCTACCGTCAATCGGTTCGTTTTGGCGCCAAGCCCTCCGAGGGTCATGACTAGACTTTTTTTTTTTTTTAATATTTATAGTCCTTTATCTCTTATGAATACACTTCCATGAAGTCTGTCTGTGTTTTGTATTCCCCGAACAGCATTAATCATTTGACTTTTGTGGTGAAGATGTAGTGTGTTTCCTGTGAAGTATGGGCTGGATTTTATATATTATTTAGAATAAAATCAGACCTTAAAGCCCCCCTGTGGAGGCGGGTTCAAATACCTCCACTGTAGACCTTCGATTTGTAGGCAGTGATGAAATGGGAACCCAGTGCCTGGGGGTATAACTGGACCACCCTGTTCCAGGGGATATAAATACAGGGACCTGGCCCTCCAGGTTGGGGAGTCTCGAATCTGAGACAGTAAGACCTGGTCATGAGATTCAGACTCGAGAATGACTGTGCTTGCGAGGGCCAGCAGAAACTGTATATATGACCTGTACTCTCATCAGAGGGGCGCCCCACATCAACAAACCCACGACTGCCCGACAGTAACAGGAATCTGATTTTGGGCCTTCACACCAAGACAGACTGCCTGACTGACTGTCGGTCATAACATAACTACTGGCTTTGACTCTGAGTCCTCAAAGTTTTAATGGTGCATGGTGCACATGGCAGGAAGTGGCTGTGGCCTATTGCATGGTAGCATCTCAGCCATCACCTGAAGGAGCTAGGAAGGGCCATGAAAAACTGCAGTCAAGACAGACACTCCCTGCCAACATCCTGAAAACATGTCAGAAACTTAACTTGTACACACACATCACCTCCACACAGCTTAGTGGTATGATGGCTGAATTTATTTTCACCTTTGATTTGTACAAACATATACATACAGTACACACAACCAAGGTCAACTGATTGACATAATACACCAATACACTAGAGTATTAGCTGGAGACAAATACAAAAGTTCCCTTAAAAATTTTAGCATGAAAGAAAAACAGAATGTTTGGAATAATGCTGTTTCCTTTGATGCACCTAGAACATAACGGTTGGGAGATTGCACAACAGTTGAGTGACTGAATTATGTTCGCTCTGTCTACTCATTCTGAACAATCTCTCCCAACCCAAAAATAAGGGCCCAGTTTCAGCGCTTCAATAAAGTGCAGCTGGAACATGTGCTGTACTACATACAGGAGTTTCAAAGTCATCAAATGGGTTTAGAAAAATGAAAAATAAGTCAGGAAATGTGAGCATAGTGTAGCAGTTCTGGCATATTCCTTCATATTTGTATAATTATCTCTAAATATATAAGTCCTCACTCAAAACGTGCATTCTACATAAAATATGTAGCCAATTATACACGCAGAAACGCCAAGAAGTGTCTGTTGTTGTTGTCTGATCATAACAAAAATTGGAATATCTAGGCAAATTCTGGTAAACCTGCCCAATATAAAACTTCATGAAAATCTAATCCGAGATTCTTGATTTGTCTCATGTGGAAAGATGTGTTAGGCAAGAGAGCAAGTATTTCACTTCATGAGGAGTTTATCTTCTGGGATACAATGCCATGTAAATTGGTGACAAGTCCACCACTGGTCTGGAAGAACTGTCCACATCTTTTACTTCGTATCTTAAATCATTATGCTCATGAACACGGTGGAACAGAGACAATTCCAGAGGAATTGTGGGAAATAATTACAATCACACAACCTTACTTTTCATTTCCCGGTTTACTTAATGTTGCTGTCACTAACTGAGGCATCGAATTATTGTTGAACAATGAACTGGAAATGACACAAAACGTAGCTAATGGGGCCCAAGCTGCGGTACCAATGTGTACCACTAGAAAATGAGAACTGTTACATTTGCAGCACCTCCAAATGAAACCTGCTTTACCAAGATGGCCAGCTCTTCTACATCACTTCCTGTCATCATACCAGTCACTGTGAGGTTCCATGTTTGCAGTAATGTTCCTATTCTTCATCAACTAATTAATCACCTCGTTTTCTTGTTAAATTAATTATTCATTTGTTAGTACAATGAATGCCTCACAGTAGCACGGTATTATCCTTAAATTAAATCTACTACAAATAGAAGGGGCATTATTTGCCTGGGATAGGGTGGCCTTCCCTCTCAGTATCACAGTACATAAGCACAATAGAACATTTAAGGTCACAGCGCTAGGCCAGAATTATGACTCACCCCTCATACTCATCACAGTACATAGCGCCTAGAACTTTAGAAAAGGAATAAAAGCCAAATTAAGAAATTAAGTCTACTCATATCATTAAAACAATTGGGAATAACAATTTTAACTGCACCCCAGAACCGTATCAAAATACTTGCACATTGCTTTAACAGCAGAGGCCACCGTACATATTGGCAACATTGTGGAGTAAACTGCATAACATCTTCGTGTGTTCTCTGTTAGGTTAATGGTGGAAAACATGAAAGTTACATTTTTATATGATATCCTTACTTCATTTTTGTCAGTCTTAGTCGAATCCCAAGATAAAGCATGAGTAAGACTCACAGAGAGCAGATGAGACCCGCCTGAAGAGCAAAACAAAACGAAACATGTAACGGGAGTGACTATGAAGAAAGCAGTGTTCTGGGATTTGGCACTGTGTATATGTGGTGTTAACCGACGTTTCAGAGGAACGTATCACCTCAATCTTCAGGGTAAAAGGAAAAATATAAGAAATCTTCAAGCGAAGAGACCGTGAGAACTGGCTTTTACCGGTTCTCACGGTCTCTTCGCTGGCGGATTTCTTATATTTTTCCTTTTACTCTGAAGATGGAGACGATACGTTCCTCTGAAACGTCGGTTAACACCACATATACACAGTGCCAAATCCCAGAAGGCTGCTTTCTTCAAAACGAAACATATGCAACACTGAGAATGTTCTCACCCAATGGCAATCTAATGCTGTCAGCGACACATCATATTCATTCATTCATTCATTCCTCCAAACAATCACACCGATGTGTAAGTCTGGCTTTCTGGGTTTAGCCATGGCATTCACTGAAGCCATTCCCAAGCTCTGGCAAACACTGCACGCTCCATCTTCAGGCTGAATGTCAGACCAAACAAGCAAGTTGACTGACATAAGGTGTCGCAGTCAGTATATGACATACGTTCAAAAGAGACATCACATATGCAGACATCATATATGTGTGTATTTATTGTTGTCTGAACTGTAAAGCAGTTACAGTTTCTGCCACCAGAGATTGTGACATGCATTTCCTTAAAGACAAACTCAATTAATTTAACCAACATCAAATTACTTTGATGTCAGTATTTATAAAACATATTACAGAAAGAATGCAAGACATTTCAGTGTAAACACTTATAAAAGATTTCCAGTTGTTTCATAATCAAAACAAATATAGTAAATCTATGAGCCCGGCGACAGTTTTAAATTAGAACAGCACTTAAATTGGCAGCTTTTGTGCATACCCCCAGTTCTGCAGACAAAATGCTACGGAACACTGCTTCAAGTGTGTGAACCTGAGCATGACAACAGCGGTGTGTGCCTCCAAACAGAAGATATGGTGCCCATTGCTACCTAGTGATGTGACCAGTTTGAGGCAGCAGACCAGTTTGAGGCAGCAGAAACAGTGAATTTGTTTTGAGCTGTGTAATCACAGAAATAAAACTACACACATGCAAAACACAATATAATAAAAGAAAAACTGTTGATGGATGCACATGTTACTGAATATTTTTCTTCCTGTCTGAATTAACACTTTATACAATAAATTAATTGCAGCAAATTAATCTGTTTTTATTATCTCTGTAGCAATTTCAAATTTATATTCATGAAAAACCAAGAACAGTAATTTGGAACTGGATTAAACTGGCACAGATTTTCTCAGATGATCACCAGTGTCAGTATGGACTGTCTCTCCAAAAGACCAACTCCTAGTGATGGAGGTGGAGACAGCTTCCAAATCATTGTACATTAACTCCACGTTCATAAAGCTCATCATTTCATATCAGTGCTGTGAAAGGTTCTACTGTCACCTGCATGAGACATAATGATTGCTGCTTTCTTGGTGCAGGTCTCTGATATGGCTGAGTTTAAATATCACAAGTTTTATAATGCAAAGATGGGGTTGCACACAGAATTCAGAGAACACATGAAACTGCCCAACTTACATCTCTGTTATTGCCACCTATGACATAGTTTGAAAACGAAAAGACTTCACATAGAATTTAGTATCAACCCATCACTCACCCATATGTCTTGCTCTGGACAACATCCAATGTTGCTTTATGAAATCATGCAACTAACACAAACTTTAAATTATTAAACAGAACTATAATCCACCTGCTGCTCATTTCTCCTTCTATATGATTACATATTCTGAACTAAAATCACAGTCTCTCAGAGCCAAATTATACACTTCCTATAACACAGCAGTCAAATTTAGTCATGAGTTGTGTCACAATTACTTATTTCTGTGGGAATGCTAAACTGACTATGCTGAGGCCTTGCATGGCAATGATAGGGTTCCAAATACTTTTCTTTTTTATATTATACACAGTTAGGTCAAAATGGACTTTAACATTTGTGAAAAACTGTTTAATTTATGTAATGGAATGCCAAAAGCCTTTTAAAAGGGAGGGAATGAATTTTATAGATTATAGTTAATTAGGTAAATTATGTAACTTATTATTCCATAAGAGATTTCTTTAAATATTCAACACACCTGTATAGGAAAGAAAAAGACACAGAAAATAGAGATGTGGGAAGTTCTTGTCAAGAGATGGCTCATGTCTCTCTCTGTTTCTCCGAGCAGACAGCCTCTGTCTGACTGGGCCGGCACAATGAATCACTACATACACACCTGTACCCCCAGTTACCAGACTGCAGAACATGGTGCAAGCAAACATAATGTTCAGGCATGCTTAACTACAGATAAGTGATGCTTATTAAATATCATCTGTTAAGCAGGACAACACTTTACCATGCACACAGTGTAAATCATGTGCAGCAGACAGTAAGGAACTTTGATTTCAAATTTTAGTTCTTTCAGAGGCGAACATTAAGCAGTATCCTTGTAGTTTGGTAGATGGGTATGAACCTTTCAGAGCTGTCCCTTCTGGGATATAACACCATGTTGTCCGTTGAAGTTTCAGAGAAACATGTTGCCTACATCTCGAAGGCAGAAATGTTTGGCACCAAACTACACCACATCACATCCCAGACGGCTAAAATATTTCATTTCAAACTTTAACAAGAATTTCAATATTATTTTTGACTCAGATATGTGAGTAAATCCCAAAAGATTTACTAGCCTGCTAGCACATGGTGAAATCAATACACAGAGCTTGATTACAAGATTTCAACACTTGGCATTCATGAAATAAATTTCATACATAACTGCTGCTGTAAATAAGCCCTTCAACCTGGAAACAAATTATATAATTTAATTATGATCCGAGTCACTTGCACGTCACATGAAAATACAAATACTGTGCATTATTAGCTAACAGCATGGATGCAAATTTTGGATCATGACTATATTTTGCATATTGTTCTGCTCAATTAATTAATGTTCTTAGAAAGATCAACTTAAATATGATTAATTCAATTTCATTAAAGGCAATTACATGTGTGTTTCACACTGAGAGGAGAACCAGCTTTAGTCTGTTTACCCTGTGTCAGTCAGAGCTCATGTGCAAATTCAGACAGATATATGTCCTATTTTACAATAGAGAAGAAAAGATTGGAATTCAGAATATGCTAACAGATTTACGAAGTTTTCAGAATGTAGAAGCAATGGACAGAACAGGGATACTGAGAAGGGCATTAGATTTAAAGTTTGAGAGAAACAGAGGAAGTGCAGAACGTCAACACGTGAGGAAGGAGCTGGCAAGAGCTGAAGAAGAAAAGCTCATGGAAAGATAAGACAAGACTGGGGAATTTCTATCTGTTGACCCATATAAAACAGAAATGATGCAAAAAGAAGAAGACAGATGCGTGTTTAGTGAGCAGCAGCGTTCTGCAAAGTGTGGCCAGCATGCCACCCATGGTCTTGGCTGATGTGACCTGGTCTAGAAGAAGCCTGCCACAATTCTGCTGCAAATCGCCTGTCACACATAAAATATTATCTTTCTATAAAATAAAATATTAAATCTCAAGTTAGCTGTCCAGAACTATAATAAATTGAGCTATTAACTTCCTCGCATAACGCAATGCCCCTCAGTACATTAAAAATTTGAGCAGTTGTTGATGAGGCACCACATAACACACAACACACACAACTTCATTCCTCCTGCTTCAGCTGTTTGCAACGATCACAGTACACGAGGCACCAGGTGTGTGCTAAGGTTTGGCACGATGCTTATGCGTTAACCTCTCTTGAACTTGAGGACCAGCATGCTGATGCTGAGGAACACAACAATCCATATTATTGTCGAGATGTATCCATTGTACACGTCGGGCTCTACAATGGACCACCCTCGTGACAGCATTGAGCGCAGGGATGTGGTTGCCATGGTCAAGGGCAGGCCAAGGCTGATGTAGCGCAGAACGCATGGCATGCCCTCTATTGGCCAGATCACACCTGTAAAAATGGCATCAAATTAGAAGATCAGAAGGCAGTGAGTAGTGAGGTTACAGTTTGTGGAGTCTGCAGATATGTACTGATATTTTGGAGCAGCTTGTTGTTGCATCTTCAGGATCTTCCTCTCGGAAGGTGGAGATAACATGTTCCTCCAAAATGCTGTACCTACCTACCAAAATGTACGACTTCACATCGCAGAAGTCCCTTGACAGAGACAAAACTTTGCTCTTGGGCATGGGCCACAAAGCCCTCCTTCCAGTTGAGAGACTGCTTGTTCTCCTCCGAACCAAGGTAAGACAGACTCAGCTTCATGACAAACTAGCTTCATTAAACTCCATTAATTCCATAAACCCCTCACTTCAAAACTTGGAATATGAAAATGCCCATCTCAAATACTATATTTTTCATAATTTCTCCCTTATGTTTACCTATATCAAATGATCTGTATTCGCACAGGCAAGTCTTTATCTGAAGTTCAATAAAAAATGACTTCTCAGAGGAAAATAAACTGCTATAACCATGATTGTACATCTTTGCTCACCACTACACAGCACTGGAACATGTTATGCTACACTGGTAGGTCATTAACCCAACCACATCACTGAAGACTAGACCATAACAGAATTGATTCACATAATTTTATCAGTGTCTAGTGTATGTATGTTTTACAGTCTTCATATTAAAGAAATTGAGTCTATTGATTTTCTGCTTCAAAAGTTGGTAGTCGAAGCCTTAGTATTGGTACTCAGAAGTGGCCACTTTGCCCTCTTAGCTACAGTTTGATTTCACAGAGACAGACAGAACTTACAAAGAGTTACTGTGATATCTTGTAGTTTGGCAGACTAGCACCAAAACGAACCACGTACACCTTCAGGATACAAGAGTAAGCCACGTGCGGAAGAAAGTCAATGGATATGGGGGAATAGCAGACGTGGATCATGGCCTTCAGTGAACCAACGACATTAAGGAGAACAGTGGAAGAGTATGAGCCTTTGAAAGGACTGGCTTCCACAAGCAGAGCGACTGGGACAGGCAATAACTTTGGGATGGTACAGGCAGTCAGGACAGACAGAACAAGGGAACAATGGGCTTGAACTGGGGGGGCTTGCAAGAGCAGGATGGTATTGGTAATGTCTGTACAGCTCTGCCAGACTGCAAGGCACCAAGCCACACTATTCAAATCATCTGTGTAATTGTAATAATAAGATTTAGAAAGAGTCCCTGCGCTTTCTATAGCAAGTTCTGAAACAGAATTCTTATGTATTCACAAGTTTCAGTCACAAACAACCACATGAAATGTCTACCTTGATTGTGATCACATGCATTGCCTCTTATGTTGATGCTCATTATATGTGGGGGGGTATCAGAACAAAAATTCATCTAGAAATCCACAGAAGTGTTTGCAAATAAGAACTATATCCAATCACAGAATATAATTCAAATACACCAAAAAGAAACAAAATCTTGACATTTGAGGTTTTCATATTGCAGGTCTTCTGGGTTATGAGACAGTATTGTTCATACATTTAGCAGGAACCTTCTGCCACCATCTTCAGGGTAGGAGCAGTACCTTCCTACAAAACAATGGAACCCACATCCCACACAACACAGCACAACTTCCCATGACATAATGGGGTGACTGATGCAGTTAGACTTCATTCCTTCTGTGAAAGTGAATAGAAACAGGGAGAATCAAGCCATTCAATACAGAAAATGGCAATGTGTAATTACATTTCAGAGGTAAGTATTCATGTGGCTCTGGCTACAGCACTGCAGTGACTCTCTCAGAATCTCTCAGGTGACAGCATGACTGTGACTTACCGCTGAGTAGTAGAGTGGGGTAGAAGCTTCCCAGAGCCAGCTGGATGGCGTTCCTTTCCAGTTCGCATATTGCCGATATAACGAATCCTAAAGACATAATCAGCAGACATCAACTTCAACACACACCTCCCAGTGGTACAGATTTCACATAAGCAGCTCCAGCAGCCTGTATTTTACTTGGCTTTTTTAACATTGGTTCTAGTGCAAGATTTAAGGCTTCTAGGGCAGAGAATAGTTATATCGTGGCCTTCTGGGCTATGACATCATGCATAGTGGTACGTTAGCCTGAAGATGGAGAGGCACAGGTAACCATGCAACAGGATACTCCATGCCATAACGTCGAAGACCACGCTTTAATACATTAGGATACATGGCCCCCAGGTTTCACACTTGAGAAGAGGAAGAAGTCCAAAGCTTCAGGCTGTGGCTACACTGCTGGAGCATGCAAGGTTAAGGCTCAAGATGCATGGACTCGTGGATTCTACGCAAGAATTGCTGCATCTTGTAAATGCACAGCAATAACAAGACATTATAAATTCTTCTCTGCAGTAAAAGGAGAGTAACAAGAGGAGTGTGAACTAAAAAACAAAATGTCACCCTTTCTAAAATGGAAACAATTCTGACTTGCAGGCAAAGAGGGTCTCAATTGACTTTGTCCAAACAGTTCCACCTGTCAGGGCATTGCTTACAGAAGTTTCCTGAAGGTCAGTGAAGACATAAATACAGAAAGTGCGGTTTGTAAACGGGAAGTGCTGAATCTGTATCAAATGGCATGCGTGAAGAATCAGAATTGGCTTGTACAGAATGATGTTGTCAGTGGAGACACGGACGGTTCTAGCTGTCTGTGTTTTTGCACATTTGCCATTTTATTTTGATGTTACAGGGAGCAATAGAGTCCTATCTGTGGCCAAGATAGCATCTCTTATGCATGCCCAGGGAGCTTATGTACGCTTTCCCTGACCTGCCCCACCATTTTCATTCAGTTATGTTGTTTCCTGCTCCATCACCAAAGGGCCAAGTGTTCGTTCTGTGCATTTCCCACTTGATGCATTTTTTAAATACAAGCCAATTTTCAGGAATGGAGCCCCCCATGTACACCAAAACTGAGCCTCATTATACAATCCCAGGGGCAGAGAGATGTGGGAAGACCCAGAAGTAGATGGGAAGATCCGTACATCAAAATGGATTTGTAGTGCCCAATCCTTGAGACAATGGAAGAATGTGAGTGGGGGTGGGGGGCCGGAAGAACAGTAAATGTGCCAATATGAGTGACATCACTGACACAATCATCAGACAGAGGCCTCAAGGATACCAAACTCTTGAGCCCATAAGTGTGAAGCAAAAAAGGGGAACTCACCGAAGCACATGCCACACAGTCCCTGCAGAATAGTCAGGATCACAGCTGAGAACACGTCGCCCTTGCATTCAACCCCAAACACCAGGATCATGAATATGAGAACTAGCGCTGTCTGCCCACACATCACCACAAACTGTGTGATCACATGTGAAAACAGGATCTCGAACGGCGTCACTCCTGCAAACAAGCCAAATTAAAATGCCACTGGATTCCTGAACACTGTCTCACTGCTCCGGGCAGTGTTTTGCAAAACCTCTGTTCTGAACAGGGACACAAAGGAATTGCAAAAACCCAACTGTAACATGTGATCATCAGAAGGCTTTAGAATAGACTGAACATTTCCAGACGGCTCTCTGTTCAAATTAACAGGTTTCATTACATATGTCTATATGTACACAAAAGTGCCATCAAGTCAATGTCAAATTATTTATACAACATCCAAAAGTTCAAAGCAGAAATTCTGAAATCTTATCCACACGAAGATTTCAAATTATGGATAAAACAACTGTTGTTAAAATTCATTAATACCTGGAGTAACCACTGTGTATTTTAATTTCTTCCAGTATCACAGCACAAAATAAAATTTTATCATCTCTCTTCCATGATAACATGTAACAAAACTGAAACTCAGTACTGTTTACTCCCAGCAAGCTATACCACTATACACTGCAGCCATTAAGTGACCATTATTTGTGATTCCAAGATTATAAAACAGTACAAGATGCTTGTTTCTTAGCTAGACACGGGCAGGAAATTCAGAAAATCTGCTTAGATGTGGGTAACTGCATGTGGCCCACGTACCTGCTACCCAGCTCCTGTCCAGCAAACCTTCCATTCGCTCAATAATCAGTACTGATGATGTCAGGGCCACAGCCAAGAAGAACACAATCCTAAGAAACAAAGGAAGGAGTAAGCATACACTGGGTTACACAGCCCTTTCCTTTTGTTAACATCAAGGACAGAACAATGATACTGTGACTTACGTGAGAATGACACCTGGGGCCACAAAGTCCGTGAAGCTGGGTTCATTGCTGCCATACACTGGATCCTTGAACTGGAAGAAATAGCAAGGCCTGGTTACACAGGTTCCTTCGAAAATGCTTCTTCCGAAACAAGTGATTGCATGTTCTGGATATTCACGGTATCACATGAAAGTTTCTCTTTATAAAGCTCACAGCTAACTACAGTCTTATTACTTCACAAAACTGTCTTGCAATAAAAGTTTATTCACAAAACATTTTTTGTGTTTATAAAGGGAACCATGAGTCCTATGTACATACTCAAATCAAAATTCTTCATGTTTGAGCCCATTTCCATGTTATAGAAAAGATACATCAGACGTAAGGGGCCACAAAATCCCTCAACAAAATTTAGCACCACAAATTTAAAACATTTTTGATATCTCTTTGAAAACATATTTTTGCATTAAATTTTTGTAATATTTGACCAATAATATGTATTTCTAGAACTGTACCATTTCTACATGTGATGCTGTGTACATAAATGGGGATGCCAACAGTAGGACTTGGGGATTTTAGTTTTATGTAGCAGCTGAAATTCTTATCTACAGCATAAGCTGTGTAGACACAAAAATTTACACTTAAAACGCCATGACACAGGGCAATTTTTACACCTTAGAAGCCTGGAAACTTATTTAATACTAGTAATCTTTCAAATTCAGTTCCTATCTCAGAGAAAACCCACTACAGCATCATTACAAAAACAACCAGTTAAAGTCATATAGGAAGACAATCAGTGTTGATTGTGAGACTCATATAAAACACACAAAGACACAGGTAGTGTATATATATATATATATAGTTATCACTGGTTTTAAAGGATTAATTACTTTTCAGACTTTATATATGGAGCAAGGAATACCTGAATTGGAACATCAGCCACTCTGGGGTTCTCTTTGCAATCTGTTAACAATGACTGGGCAAAACGTCGGTACGATAACTGCAGATCTCGGTTCAGCATCAGTCCGATCTGTTGGTCTGTAATGACAATCAGCAACATCAACAGCATTTAGTAGCAGCAGCAGCAGCATGAGTGAGCTGCTGGCAACACCCATTTACTTATTTATGGTCTACTTTATGATGCTGTCTGCTGCTGAGACTACCTGTTGACAGACATTACGATGAAATTAATACGACTTGATGTGGAAGAAAGTGGTCATAACAGAGTTTCAGATGCTTTTCTAGTATTTGCCTGGGTGGGCCAAGGAAAACCATGAGATACCTCAGCCAGAAAGCTGGTCTCCGGGTCCTCCTGACAAGAGAGCACCACAGCATAACAGCATAAAACAACAGTAATGTAAATATTTAAACGTGTACAGTACTTCTAAGTACCATGTTACGACATGCGACAGTAAGGCAAAGACTAAAGAGTGGTAGTGTGTACGGTATCTTACTGGACATGTCAAGCCAGACCCTGATCTCACTCTGGTCCAGAGTCTCCTCGTCTGAGTCCTTGCCGAGAGCCATTCGAGCCACTAGCGCATCGGTGAAGTTCTCTGTGAAGTAGAGGACTCCCCATGCATCCCCTCTTCTCACGGCATCCTGAGCGGATTCTGGTGATGAATAGGAAACCTGCAATTTCGTTACCACTGGTTCAGTGAAATGTGTGCATATATTGGCATTCACATTTAGAAATATACTTCATGAATCCCGTGGAACTAACTTGGGAAACACAAACACCAAACATCACTACAAATCCATTCAGTAAGATCTTCACACGTGCTTTTACATGGATCCTAATGCTAATGTTAATAAAAGTCCAAATGAAGACAATGGAGACATCAGAAGTATGTTCCTCACAACAGTCACAACATACAGAATGATGGATCATAAATATAATGAAGATACTGGATAATAATTGGAAATAACAGATCCCTATACAGTGATAAAAGCCGCTGAAAGAAATGGCTGGAACATCTGTTAAGAATGCCTAAACACCAAGTCACAAGCACAGACAGAAGGACAGTACAAAGACTCGTCTTACAGAAATATGATGTAAGAGTGTGAAATTGATCAAGGTGGCTTAGAATAGGTCCTATATGCTGGGCATCTTCATCTTGGAGGAATTAGATACACACGCACAACAAACTTTATGTTATATTCTGAATGGAGCTGAAAAATAAGTAATTGTAAAACTTATCTAAAATTCAATGTGTCTACATCAGCAGCTGCAAAGAAAGCAGTACAGCTGAAACCAGTTGAAGCAACAAACTCCAAAAATAAATTCAAAATCAAATTTTGTCTATGTGAGAGTCATCTGCTCTCTTAATGTTGTGAAGCTTACAACTCAGAAACATTCCATAAATACTGCTGTTACCCCTTTAAAACTTGAAGTTCACAGTAGGTCTTATATAAAAGACTCAGTTTCTACCTCACAGGAAACACATCATCTCCATGACAAATGCTGTTGAAGGAAATAATCCTGTTTAGCAAGAATCAGTGTACGGTTTTGAGGTAAATCTGGATGAATTAACGTTTGCCAGAATTATATTGCCAGAAAATTTGAGGTTATACATTTACACTGTAAGTAGAATTTTTACAATAATTTTAAATTTCATAATGTGCATATACGAGTATTAACTGTCTTCAAGTGCACACAATCCCATCCAACGATACAATGTATGCAGCCACAAGACTAGAACGCATCATAAGACATAATATACACACAACATTGGAAATACAAGAAGAATGACCCCCATGTGGATGATTAATAATACTGTGACATGTTGACCCCTACCTCCCCAGCGGTACGTGGCGGTAACGTAACGCTCGCGTTCTTATGGTAATAGGCGAGTTCCTGCCCCGCAATGCGCAACGCGCGGTGACGTCACGAGCGGAGCCGAAGAGAGCCGAGCGGAGCCGAAGATAGCCGACCCCCCGCAACCTGGTCGCTAGGCAACGCAAGTCAACGCGGTGACGTAACGCACAACGCTACGTAACCGTAATCAACTTCCTACTGTGACGTGGCACTCATTACGCAACCGGCAAGCACTGCAGCTATATAAGTAAGCTGCACAGCTGGTACCAGTCAGAGTTCTAATGTGGCTACCAGCGAGTTCTAATGTGGCTACCAGAGAGTTCTACTGTAGCAGCCGCCTAACACAGTTATAAAGTAACAGTCGCCGAGTGTGTTATCAGCAGTTCTCCAGTCAGCCGACTACTGTTGGAGTATAGCAGCCGTCGCGGAAAGAAGAACCGGACGTGTGAGTGATTGTGTAATTGGGAGCATGTGATACAGTGATACATAGCTCCCCTACTGTAAACGTGTAGACCACTGAAGACAGAGTGAACTGATTTGCGAATAGGGTTATAAGTCGTGAAACCCCGCAACAGTGTTAACAGATTAATGCGATTAGGGTTATAAAGTGTGAAACCCCGCAACTGTGAGACAAGTAATTGTAGCCGTTGTTTGTAGATTGTTAAATAAACCAATTAACCATCTCGACGGCGTCTTCGGTAACGCAAACACGTTACAATACACACGAATTTAAAAATATGACATATGAGATAACATGTTTTAACAAGTTATATAAGGACATATAAAGGCAAGCAGTGAAGTGGTTGACAGAAAGATACACCTGAAGATGGCAGCATACTGCCGAAACATGTAGGGTAGAAGTGTAGATGGGATTGTGTGCACTTGAAGACTGTTAATATATACACATTACGAATATGAATCAGTGCAACAGGACGCTAAAGTACTACAGAGTTAATTTTAAATTTCATTTACATTTCATTATGTGCCATGGAAGGCCGCACTATAGCTCAAGCGCTTAGTCGCTGGCTTCCCACTGCAGCGGCCCAGGTTTGATCCCGGGTCTAGTCAAGTGGGATCTGTTATGGACAAAGTGGCCCTGAAGCAGGTTTTCTTAAAGTACTTCGGTTTCCCCTGCCAATCTTCATTCCACCAAATTCTCCATCATAATAATCATCTGGGGTAGGCTACAATAGGCCATTCAGTGGCTGCCGTGCCGAGTGGACCCAGCTGGACTCCACCCCTCACTATGCAAAAAATGTGCCATGGAACATTACAAATTGTTGCTAGTAATTAGAGAGTAATGGAGGATCAGCTAAAAACTTATTGTAATCTAGGGCTGCGTCATAGCTCAAGAGGTTAGTCGCTGGCTTCCCACAGCGGCAGCCCAGGTTTGAGCCCTGGTCTGGTCAAGTGAGATTTGTGGTGGACAAAGTGGCGCTGTGGCAGGTTTTTTCCAAGTACTTCGGTTTCCCCTGCCAATCTTCATTTCACCAAATTCTCCATTATCATAATCACCTGGGGCAGGTACAATAGGCCAATCAATGGCTGACGTGCCGAGCGGACTCAGCTGACTCCACTCCCCATTATGCGAATTAATTAAATTATTGTAATCTAACTACCTAATTCTTATAGAAGCCAGGATAGCATAGTCGGTACAACTACTTATTATGCCTTGACAACCAAGGGTTCGGAGTTCAAGTCCAAAGAGGGTCAAGAATTTTCTCTTCTCCACGTCATCCATATCAGCTATTGGGCCCACCCAGACTCCTATCCAATGGATACAAGGACTGTATCCAACTAGTGCTGAGGTGAAGAAAATGTGGATCTATACATCCACTCCCCTAAAGGCCTTCATGGCGTAGTGCTTCATTAGTTAAGCTTAAGGGCAACTTTTTTTTCCTTGGCACTACAGCCCCAGTGGGCCTAGGCCTACCTCCATGAACTTCTCTGTTCACTTCGGTTTTTCTAGATCTTACACATTCGGTAGGACTCCTTGGGCACGTGATCAGCTCGTCGCAAGGCCTCTACCTGTACACAAACACAGAAAAACGCACACACACAAACTAAACATCCATGCCCTGAGTGGGATTCGAGCCCACGATCCCAGTTTCCAAGTGAGCGAAGACAGTGCATGCCTTAGACCGCTCTCCTACCGTCACCGGCTTAATGACGTTACCTTACCTAATTCTCAGAGCAACTCCATCTGGAATTGGATATTAAACAGTGGGTTATGGTATCTGAACTGAGGGAACATGATGTTAGTTCTGCTGGACAGCATTTGCGCACATGTTCCGACATGTAGCCAGTAAAAGTTAATTGCAGAAACACTGGCACTTCCCCCCCCCTCCTGGCCACACACAAGTGCAGAGCAGAAATGAAGAGGAAAGATGGGGTACGTCACTGTGCAGGGAGATGGCCTCACCTTCACTATACTTTCATTATCAAGGTTCTGTAAATATCGGCAGCTGAGCATCCTGAAACTGCAGCCTGTACTGTATTCACACTGTTGTCCACTTTGATTCAGTTCATGATTCACAATGGCAAGTCGAAGTCCTGTTGGGTCACGTCCAATAGCAAGGCAGAACAGAATCACCTGCATCACTGGCAGTGCAAAGATGAAGAGCATCACCCTGTAACAACAGCGCAAATCCATCAAGAGAGTTGCAAAGTTCCAATCGACATTTCACCAATCCCCTGCAGCTAAACAAAAACTCACCCCACATTTCTCCACATACGCAGGACGTTCTTCTGTAAGAGAGCCCGCATCTTCCCGACAGTTGTCAGTTGGCAGCAGTCAGAGCAGTCATCACAGTCGACTGATGTATCTCCCTTCTCCCCCTTCGGGGCTCTGCCATTCATCTGTCAAAACAAACACACCTTCTGATTCAACTGCACCTTCAAAAGCTACAGAAATGATAAAATAAATACTGTTCAGACAGTAATTGTGCATACCCATGAAATGGTCCCTTAGTGGCGCAACAGCAGCATATAAATAAATACCAATTTCTCTATTTCACCTTACTAATGAAAAATCCTGAGTTCTATCTATAGCATCACTCTAGCAAGCGAACACTTATTTATTTTTCTGTTATTCATTCAGAACAAACATTGCAACTGCGTGGTCAGCACTTGCTTTTTTTGTATGTGGGACTTCTCAGGCCAGAGGCTGGCAATCCTGACTGAGGTGTTATGGTCTTTCCTCAGTCACTCCATGCAAACACCAGGACAGTGCCTCAAATTAGGATACAACCTCCTTCTTCCATAGGCATACGAATTCATTATTCACTCACACTACCCAGTCTGAGCATTGTTTGCATGTTTTGCATCCTACTGTACATGTCTCACTATGCAAATTTGTCCATCAAGCACAACAGTTCCACATTTCAATGAATAAGTGATAGGCTTGAATGTTGATAAAATCAGTTTTAGTTCATTAGGATGTTTCTTAGGTGTGACATGTTTCAGGCATTAACAGCCATCATCAAGCATTTGTAAACAGTCCAACTGGCACACCATCAGCTTAGCAACACATTCCAGTTGGAATGCAGTGCTTCACTTTACCTCATAATGGTTAAGTCCATTAGATGAGTCTGTGATGAGGACTTCTTTAGACTGATGGAAATTGAGACCTACGACTCCACTCTCATCTGTGACGTACACTGGCTCATCCTTGCGACCCCAGTGCAGAGAAGCCTACAAAAGAGACAGGTCCATTCATACATAATCACACCATGTGCTGCCATCTAAACATACATAAAAATTAAACTTCCCTGTTTCACGGTTTCTACAGTGAACCTAATAGGGAACACCCAAAGATACTGTGAAATTTGCCCTGTACTGATATTCAAGTACTGTGGAACAGGTTTTGGGTGGGATTCAAACCCTTTTTCCTGATATCTTGTTTTAATTGCATTATTAAACCTTAATTTATTAATTTGAGTGTTCTTCCCTCTTTAAAGTTCCAGCTGCTGCATACTGTGATATTGACAGGGGACGTGACCATATCTCATTCATTTGGTCAGAACAAATTATGACCACAGATGTGAAATGCAGAATTTCAGGTTCTCATTGAAGTGAATATGGGGTTTACTTTCTCCTGTGATGTGATGCCATGTAGTCTGATGGAAGGTTACCCTCCATCTGGAGGGCACAGACTATTTTTAGTGATTTGTTTTAAATGGTTTTAAGTTTATTTTAATGTTTGGTATATTTCATTTTCTTCAGTTCCAATTTTTTAAAAAAATCTGGGGGGGGCAGATGCCTAGTTTTCCCATCCACCTGCTGCTGTTACAGCTCGAGAAGTCTCAATGTTTCTGATGTTATTACATAGGCATGAGAGAATTTTGAAATTCTTACATTTTCATCAGAAAACCTGAAGGGAGGGCTATATATAAATGCAGATCGCACAGAGATAGGATGGGATACCTGGATTAATATGGCTCAGGATAAGGACCAGTGGCAGACTCTTGTGAACATGGTAATGAAAGTTTTGTTTCCACAGAAAGTGCAGAATTTCTTGAAGAGCTCAGTGACTGTCAGCTTCTCAAGTACTCCACTCCATGACAATGCTTGGTTAGCTATTACATTAACATTATAGTCAACAGTTAATTTCTAAACCCAAGGATGAAGCCAATTAACATACCTAATTAAGAGTAGAGTTTCTTTTAAATTGTCTTGAGTTGGAAAAGTCAAAAGGACTCTGACATTGTCTGCAGCAAAACCCCCATTTAGGGTTCCTTTGGGGACGAGTGGATCTGAACACAAAATGGAGGGCATTTAGCGCTGAGATTGTTCAGTTGGGCTCATGTCTGCGTGAAACTGTGCGGTGAAGATGGTGTCCCGTAATAAACAGCAGAAATCTACGACTACATGATCTGCTACAGTGTGTTCAGTCACTTCTCATTGTGCTCTGTGTGTCTGGCTGTGATGAAGATACATACACTGCGCACAGAACCGTACCAGTGAGACGTTGTTCGAAATGTTCAGCTCAGTGACGTTGCAGTTGCTGCCCTGTTTGCGACTCAGCTTGAGGAACACTTCCTCTAGTGACTGGCAACCATACATAGACAGGAGCACCTGAGGAGACTCTTCTGCCAGCAACTTACCACTGCGCATCAGACCAATCTGGAAAGGTGTATTACATTATTACGCTTTTAACTATTATTTTACTGAAGATGTTGTAACAAGACAAATTACTGTGTCTACTTTTTAATGACCTGCCTAAGTATTCACTGTTCTGGCAACAATTTTGGTACAACTGATAGATGACTTTTACGAAGTTGCCATTTATAGAGGTTATTCTTGTGGTAACATGAAATTTAAGGCAAGAGTAGCTGGTTTCTCACAATTTACAATTCATGAATTCTTAAATATTTCCAATGGAGCACATGGTGATGTAGTTCATTGAGGCACTATGCTACAGGATGAAAGACCGCAGATTCAATTCCCGATGTGGTCACCGGATTCTTCAATTGACCTAACCCTTCCAGCCGCACTACGACCCTGGAGTCGACTCAGCCTCTAACAGAAATGAGTACCAGGAATCTTCCTGCAGGTCAAGGGCAGTTGGCATGTAAGACTGACAAATCTCACCGCCATCTGTGAGCCAACTCTCTAGAAAATGTGGGGGCCTCCATGTCTCACAACTGTATGGACCTCCAAGGTCTGTTAAAGGGATAACTTCACCTCTCACCTTACATATTTCCAAAAAACTTATCATTGTAATTCCATTTACTACATTATATATTTTTGTCAATGTGCTTGAGGTTTATGTCACATTGCCATTTGCAGATCAGTGGATGGTGAGGTCTTCTGCTTAATTTTCATGCCCTCTACACCCTTGTGCGGGCGTATGACTGATCTGTTCCTCTGCAGAGGGCCTATTAAATGTGCACTATGCCTCTTATGAGCCACCATTATCACATGCAGTTGGAAATCAAAGAACAGAAACACAAAGAAATTGCCATTAGCTAAGGTGACCTTCCTGCCATTTGTGAACTGCAAGAGACAATGAAATTCCATGGATAACAACCAAACCATCAACTAAACCAACATCACCTGTTAAAAGTCTTGGTCAGCATTCCAATGTGCTGTCTGTTTGCACGCATAATTGCATGGTCACTGCACTGTATGCATCTGCCATTTGCAAACAAAATGCAACAGGTATGAAGAAACCAAAAGGAACACATAAGCATATTAAAACAAAATGGAGTCCTGCCTTCCATCAAAGAAATGCTGGGACTTAGTCACTTCTGGAGAGTGCCAGGCAAAGATGGGGGAACAAGAACTAGCCTCCCACCTGTCTGGGTGTTGTGTGACTGACCTCTAGAAAAGCAAAGATGTATATGAATACAAGGGACAGCTGTGTCACTGACCTCTGATGTTGGAAGCATGGCACTTTCAGAAACTTTCTACACTGACTTCATTTTTATGCAGCTGATCATGTCAGAGGATTTTGTTGCAAATATAATATCCACATTTTTTAAGCTCTGATACTGAAATTAGTATATCAGGTAGCATTGCTATTTTCCTTGTTACTATCTCAGTTCTGTAGCATCTCTTCATCTTACATTCTCTGTACAGTCATGAGAATCCAACTGTTTGGTTCAGCTTCAGTTTGAAGGCAAAATTGAACTGGAAACGAATATATTCAAGGTTGGCCCTGGAGAGGTTAAGAGGTGCTGTGGCCCATAGACCAGTTCACTTCACTTCTCAGTGATGTACAATGGCTATCACATAGGAACAGCAATGGAAATGTGAGTGATAAGATGTCAAGCCACGGCAAATGAGAAGCAGCCCCTGTTCAGACGTTTCACCTCCCTGAATGTGTGACAAGCTCAGACAATACTGTAAGTCCTCATGCATGCAAACCCTCACCTCCGAGTAAGGGTGGCTGAGAACAGGGTGCTGAGGAGAAAATATTGACCCTGAAGAGAGACCACTAACAGGAAGATAAATTACCGTGGAACTTCGCAGTTTGTCATCTCCAGCAGATATTGCTACTGTAATACAATCAAGGAAGAGTGGATGGGCAAGACAAGTAGGGTGGATGGATGAAGTGACATATAAAGATAGGAAGATAATATTAAGATAAATCTTAAGAGATCCAAGGAGAGAAGGTGAGGCTCATGAGGCTCATCTGAACACAGCAACAAACATTCAGTTTTCATAAAAATGGAGACTTTCTTAACGATCTGAGAAACTCACAACTTCTTCAGAATGGCAGCCCTGTGAAGTGGGGGTCAGTTAATTGCCACGCACAGAGAAGAGTCCGTCAGGTAAGAACACCTGAAATGGGAAGCGCCTCTGTCATCTGATTGGAACAAGGTAAGATGGGGGCGCTGTGCCAGGAACAGATTTCCAGCGAGCAGGTTCAAAGGCTGCAGAAGAGCACTGGAGATGTCGGTGACCTTGCAATATGAAGCACTCCCTTGTGTGACTGTACACTTAATGTACATTTGGATGCAACAGCAGTCTGAGGATGTGCCCTGCCCTGGATGCTAAATATTTACCTTTTGAGTGGCACTGCCAGCAGCACAAGTGTGTCTTGCAAGTGGAAAGAATAAAAAGGACGCGAAACAAGAAAAACGTGAAGAACACAAAGGCTCTTGGTGGACTGTCCTTCCATTACTTCAATATTCTTGTCCTCAGGTTCATGCAATCTGTACCTTCAGTTGTCAGGGTTCAGCTACGTCACACTCAGAAATTGATACATTTTAGTGTACACTGCAATTACCAATGTTCGCACTGAATGTGGTAAACAGCAAAGTATGCCAAAACTTTATAACAGCTAAAATACGCAACACAGCTTAACCTTGACAGCTGAAAATATGCATCTGTTACTTAAATACTGCAGTTTCCTTTCTTTGAAAATAATTTTCTTTCAAAATGCCCTTCTTTATATCAAATTTTCACTGAGTAACCAAATTTCCAAAATTCAATTCCTTTCTGCAATATGAAAATGTGATTCCATGTGCTGATATAATCCCATCCTAAGTTTAACGTCTGTCTCATTGAGAGTAAGACAAATAAAGAACAGCATTAAGCTCTAAAGTAAACACAGTAAATGGACTTCTTACTGTTTGTTTCTAGAAAATATTTACAGCCAACATGAATTACGTTTTGAATCATTATGTTAATTTAATTGACCAAAAAGTTGTGCTCTTTTTATAAATCCATACCATGGACAGTGCTCATGGTCAAAATTAATAAATTTAGTTCGCATGTGAAGCATCTTTTAACTCTGCCTTCAAATTCTGGTACATGAGCTTCATGAGGTTTCAGCTGAGGTACACGTGACTTGCATGAGGACCTGCAGGATGTGAGGTTATGGAGGGTACTGTCTTCTGGGATATAGCGTCATGTAGCGCGCTGAAAGCCAACTAACATTTCAGATGAATATGTTGCCTTCAGGGTTGAAGTACTCTGCTTGCTATGTGCTTCATACTGATTTCTTGCTTGTCTTAGATCCTGAAGATGGAGGTGACATGTTCCTCTGAAACTTCAGCTGATTGTGCGGTGCTGTATTCCAGAAGACAGAACTCATGAGTGAGAGCACACTCACCGTATGTGCCTGTCTTGCTTCTTCTATGTAATGTGTGGTAATTATCACTGTCTTGTTGCCATCCTTCGTTATCTGCACCAAGTGGTTCCATATGCTCTGTCGAAGCAGCGGGTCCACTCCCACCGTCGGCTCGTCTAGGATCAGAAGCTCAGGGTCGTGCATCAGGGCCACAGCGAACGAAACACGTCTCTGCTGTCCCCCACTGCAACAAGCAATTGCAATGAAGTCTGCAGACAAGTTCACTTACTTCACTTTCAGTACCTTGATTAGCCCAGTCAATATCGACACTAGGCTGCAGACTGAATGAGGAACAAAGGTCCAATTCTTGGCAAGGGCAACAGATTCTTCTCCCCCACAGCATCCAGAGAGTCTCTGGGGCCCAACGGGACTGTGGGGGTCTCCCCTGGAGGATAAAACGGCTGAAGAGTGATGGTGACCACTCACCTACAACTAGTGCCAAGGTTAAGAATGCATGGAGCTATACCGCCACACTCTCATATGTCTTCATGTCTTGGTTCTTAATTAAGCAGAGAAAAAAAATGACCTTCTGCATCAAAAATACCCACTTGCTTACATGTCATGAACCTTTATTGGTTATGCATTGCACAACAGTAGCAGTCCAGCCGACTCAAGTATTACATGTTTTGAACGCTACCGCTGTTACCCCAGATGTCTTCTTGGGCACTGCCAACTTCTGAACTATGCCCCTAAGGCCACGCCATAGCTCAAGCGGTTAGTCGCTGGCTCCCCACCTCGGCGGCCCGGGTTCGATCCCGGGTCTGGTGAAGTCGGATTTGTGGTGGAAAAAGTGGCGCTGGGGCGTGTTTTCTCCGAGTACTTCGGTTTCCCTTGCCAATCTTCATTCCATCAAATTCTTCATCATCATATTCACCCAGGGCAGGCTACAGTAGGCCAATCAGCGGCCGCCGTGCCGAGTGGACCCAACTGGACTCCACCCCCCCCATTAAGTGAACTATGTCCCTAAGTAACTAGAAGAAAAATTACTGAGTTCTTACTGTTTCAGAAAATGCTTGTGTTACACGACAACACAATAGTTTAGCTTTTTCATTTCTGTGTAAACCCCTTGCATCACGCCACATCTCACGCGTCTCCACACGTCAACTGAAGCTGTCCAACACTGTGATGGACTGAAGGAAACTTTGGCTGTGTAACAGATTTCCTTACCTGAGGTTCTTGACCAGTCGGTTCTCACTGGGCAAATCAAGGAAGTTGAGCAGAAACTGCAGACGGTCATTGATTTCTGATGTGCCCATGCCGAATATCCAGCCGAAATACATCATGGTCTCTCGAATTGAGAACTCCCCATAGAGCGCAATTTCCTGCAACAGCAATGGGATTCAAATGTTTCGTCCTCAAACATCTGCAATAGACTGTGCATGAAGGAACTCATGATAATGTGCAGAGTCAGAGAGGAACTGGAGCCAGAACCAATATGGTGGCTCATACTGAGATGTGGTATGTTTGTAATTATTTCAAGAGGCCTTCTAGGTACTGAAACAAGACAACACAGAATTATATGTAGGTCATCCAGAAAGTAAAGACCGTTTGGTAAGGTAAGGTAAAAGGTAAAGCTGTCCCTGTGCCAAATTAATTTAAGCACAATGCCATGAAGGAGTATGGGGGAGTGCATGTATAGATCCACATTTTCTTAACCTCAGCACTAGCTGGAGGTGAGTGGTCAGCTTCACGTCTCTGCCGCTTTGCCTCAGGGGAAAGAGCCCCTGGTACCCATTGGATAGGAGGTTGTGTGGACCCCAGAGCCGGTCTGGACGATATGGAGAAGAGAAAATTCTGACCCTACTGGGACTGGAACTCTGACCTCTCGGTCATCCATCCCGTAGCCAGTCCTATACCAACTGAGCTACCTGGCAACAAAGACCGTTTGGTGATTGAAGAAAAATGAAAGAATAATATTAAAACATTTTATTTTACATCATTACTGCAGACTCAAATCATTTTTCTACATAACCCCATGAAGATTCAGGCACTTGTCATGTTGTGTGTGTTTCTGCATCACAGAAATCTGCCGCCACTCTACTGAACCCACTGTTTCTTCATCGCTACCCATGTGTGTGCTGCCCAAAAACTGCTTCAGGTGAAAATCACTTGGAGCCAGGTCCACACTGTAGAAGTGGAGAGCAAAGTCCCAGGCAAAGTTGGCAAGTAGCAAACATGTGCTAGTGGTCTTTACTTTCTGGAGCACCCAGCATGGCTGAGCCTCAACTGTACATAAACAAATATTTAATTTTTATACAGGATAAATATACTCATACTTTGAGTTGTAGTGTTGTGTGTCACAATGAGAGAAGTGTGTGTTCACTTTGAGCATGGAACTAGAAGGAAAATCCCTCCAGAGTGGAACAAGGAGGAAGAAACTCTGGTATAACAGAGCCAGACGGAGAGGCTTGGTTGCTAGGCGACCCACAGAGAGTGGGCATGAGATCACATTACCTGTGGCATGTAGCCCACTCTCCTGCCAGGGACCCCACTCCCTTTGGTGCCCGGCCTACCGCCCAGCACATAGATCTCTCCCGTGTTGAGTCGGCGCCGACCCACAATGCAACTGAGCAGTGTTGTCTTGCCGCAGCCACTCGCTCCCAGCAGCCCATATCTGAAACATGATGGACATAGCTCACCAGCTTCACGCTCCAGCTGATTTACCACTGGGGAAATATCTCGGGTACTCATTAGATAGGAGGCAGAGTTAATCTGGACACAAGTGTGTCAAAGATAAACGTCTCTGCCATGGATAGGAATCGAACCCTGGACGTCTGACTGAGCTACCATGGGCTCTGCCACATAATAAGCATATGCAGATAAGGCACATCTCAATTAGCTCAAGAAAACTGTGAGTGACAGAGTAGCATTCTGGTAAGAATGGTTATAGGCAGGCTTCAGTTGTCCGCCGTGTCCGCCATGCACTGCCCCAAGGTCTTCATAATTCGAGGACATCGGCTACCGCGGCTGCTTTCTCTCCTTGCCGTGGGCGTTACGTCTCTCTCGCATAGACACTTCTCTGTGCCTTTAACCCCTGAAGTTCGTTTAAACAATACACGGCAGAAAACTCACCGTGTCTTCACCATAAAGACCAGTAGTAGCTTAATATGCTCATTTCAAAAGCCGTACCATAGACACAAGCGCGCTCTTTGGACACGATGTATAGTTTCATAGCGTTAAAGCAGGCGGTACGTAAAGTTACCACTTAACCGCTCATTACAGTTACGTCATTATAATGTATCCTGGTTTGTGATAGCTAATTGCTAATATAACATCTGTTAGGAGAAAGAGAGGGGGGAGATAGGCGCATTCTTGCACTGAGAGCGCGATATATGCGCAGTCTTGCTGCTTACTGGCGCCCAGTACAAGACCTTCTACCTTCCTAGCCTACCATCTCAACATCAACAAAGGGAAGGGGGTAAGGATAACGACAAATGGAGGTAACTTCGGCAACCAGGGGCAAGGCAACAGTCAACGGCCCAGTGAAGACTGCTGCAGCTGGAGCGCAGGGCCGCACCCTCCACTCTCCCAGATTGTAAACGTGTGTTGCATAGTACAGTATATAGCCATTCTAAGTCTACCTGTTTTTGCTTGTCAAGCACAGTGAGGCCTCACAAGGTCTGAAAACGTGCTCTTACAAATTCGAGAGTGTATCTGTGACCCTATGGGAAGAACGTGAACTGAGGGTGCTGAGGGGAACGGCTGAACTAAAGTGTCTAAAGTTACATAACGTGTAGACAGGATGGTGATATTCAACTGGCTCAGGATACAGTCCATGGGGTCTACAGTAAACACGGCAATGAACATGTAAAGCACTGCACTCGCAAATAAATAAATAAATACAGAACAGGAACTTTATGATGTTGATTTCTGGTTCCACGTTTACAATGAGTGTGCCTTGCAGGTCGAGGCGAGCCTGGTTCAAGCCAAGTACATTTCAGTGCCTCTCATGTGTTCAGACGTTGTGTGAGTAGCTGGGGCAGAAATGATTCTTCAGAAGGTACAGTTCCTACAAGTGACGTCACTGGGAGCCACCGGTATGATGTGTTAAGGCACCGGATGCAACTTCGCTGAGAAATGGGAGCTGCAGGTCGCAGCTCTAGCCGACTCTACTCCCGCTGCAACCTCCATACCTACTTAACGTGGCCCATAAAATATTGGGTGTTCTTTCCAAAGTGAAAGGATGTGACGACACACGTCCGTCCGTCTGAGAACTACAATCGGCGCCTAACGGGTTGAGCAAATATCTCTAAACCTCGATATGACATACTCTTAGAAGACGTCCCGCCATACTGATCAGTAAGAATGGCCACAGATGAACATCTCCATGTGGCCCACGTACCGTCTCGTGCACCAGTGGGATGCTGAAATACCGACTGAGCTCTTGCCAACCTGCCACGCTGTGCTTACTTAACTGCAAATAACGCAGGGAGTACAACATTATGCAGCGGACGCTTTTACTTAACAACGTTGTCAACATCCAGATGAAAGGCTGAAGTGGAAGGAATTTGGAAGGAAGCGGTAGCGGTATAATCCCGGCATTTTCTCGGAGGTATTGAGAAAAACCGCGAAACCCCTCTGGGTCTGGACTGCGGGTGTCCCGGCCGAGATTCGAACGGGCAACTTCCGAATGCAAATCTGAAACGTTACCGCTGCGCTAACCCGTTCCCCCGCTCGCCCGCGGAAAATTCGAAATAACCGACGATTTGAGAATAACTGGTGGTAGCCTTCCCCGTTCTGGAGCGCGCTTACTAGAGGCTCAGACAGCCCACTTTCCCTTTCACCTTTCTCCGAGTGATGTAACAAGAAAGGGAAAATATTATGCCGACGTCACTGTTGCGTAAGCCGGTGACCACCTGAGAGAAACAGATGTAGGTCACGGGAGAGAGGGGAGGGTACCTGCCGGGCCATCCCATTGCCCTGCGAGACGAACAGCCCATCAAGCCATGACAGGAAACACAGGGACAGAAGAAATTATCGCCTCTCCAACAGTTTCGTATTTTAGTCATCATTCTTACTGCTGAACTGAATTTCCTAAATAAATACACGCACTTATTTATCGGTCACAATCAGCAAAAGTAAAACTTAACAGGAAAATTGTCCGTGTTCTTAATTATGCATCACACCATAAAGATGTATGGGGGAGTGCAAGCATAGCTCCACCGTTCGTAACCTCGACGCTAGACGGTGTGGTCAGCTTCACACCGCGGCAGCTTTACAGAAGGGCAAAAATCCCCCGATACCAGTTAGCTAGGAGGCTGGGTGGGCCCCAAAACCGGTCTGGACGCTGTGGACGAGTGAAAAATCTAATGCCCAGGTTACCTCGGTCATCCAGCCCCGTAGCACAGTCGTTGTACCAGGTGTAACTAACGTGGCTCCAATCAGTTGATATTCAGAGCAGATGCGATAGTAGCCATCTTGCGTCTGGGTCACGTTAAAACTGCAGATTCGTTCGGTGTGACTCACGGACACGCAGACGCACACGTGCAATGTTCTATGCAAAATGCAAGTGTCTTTGTTGCTCGATGTTGCTATGGCACAGAGAAGTACTGAACGATGTATACTTGTTTTCAGTGACACGTCTGATACGGCTACACACTGGTGTCGCTAGTTAAGAAATTCCCTATACAATTTGATACGGTCGCCGGAACCCGGTGCCTGGGGGCATAACTGGGCCACCCTGTCATTGGAGGACACAAATAGAGTGTCCAGTGGGCCTCGGAAGTAGTGATGACCGTTAAGTCGTGACACGGATTTCGAATGCTGGATGCTCTCTCGCGTCCCGTCTTCATTCTTACGCTTCTGTTGAAACCGAAATGAGACATTTCCCCCGAAAAGTGACAGACAGACAACACTTGCTCACTGCGCTGTGCAGGGGACATGGGCATATCAAGGGCCAAGAACTGAAGTCTGTAAGTATTTGCGCAGCCACTGTTTGAATTGGACTCTCGGATTCTGGAAAGACAGGATACCAAACTACCGACTGGACGTAACCTCGAAGCCTGTGAGGAAAAGAGAAGAGAAAGTATTGGGGCGATGGGGGGGGGAGAAATTTTCCCTGCTTTGATTGTTCACGGGCAGTGTCCGCTAGTCCTTCTGGTAGAGGTACCTTTGAGAATTGGTAAAGCTTTAGGGAGTCAAGCCTTAAATTCATTTAAATGATATTTAAAATCTTAGTACGTACCTCACAGGAAACATTACGTCTCCATAACAAAGCCCAACCGGTTAATGCTGTTTAGGGAAACAGTCGCTGTTTATTGAGAGAACCATACGGAACACACAGATACACTGTGTGAGCAGAATGCAGAGTTCTGAATGTCAGAACAGGTGGTACATATAATTACTACTGTGTTTCACAGGGTTGAAGTACAGCATGTGAGACTGCTCACACGAAGCTCTGGGCTCGCATTTCGGTACGAGGTCACGTGCTCAACTGCTAGGGTGCAATGATCACGTGACGCACGTGAAACGTCAACGTTTAACATTGACGTGAGCCTCCTTACGAGGAACAACGTCACGCCTGAGGTATGACTGTGTCAGAACACGTGTTCCACTGGCTCCACGTCTGACTCATGTGCTGACTTCTCTTGCGATGCGATGATTTGATGTTCCCCGTCACATTGTGGTCTTCTGGGTTGTACGTGGTACCAACGCTTACGAAGAACATGCTGCAGCCATCTTACATCATACGTACGTTCTTCAGGAACCAGACCACACGGTGTCACAACCAAGAATAACACATCATGAATCTTCAAAGCCGGGAATACCTCACATCTTACATGGTGTTCCCCGACCAACAGAGGCTTCTGCGCTTGCTCTGTACAGTAGACATTCTATATATATTTCCAGTTCAAAACCAAGGTCGTTTACATTTAAACACAGATATATGTTCACTGCCCCGTAACGCCGTGCATATTAATAGGATGGAATCTGCCACTTGCGGCCGCGACTACATGGCGACGTTGTCTGTAACTCAGGCGATGCAGTGACGAATGGCAGGACGACAGGTGAATAATGAATTATGGGGAGCAGAGCTATATCTCATGCATTTTAACCTCAGCACCAGGTGGAGCCTGTCGGTTTCACGCCTCGCGTGGCTTTACCCTCCAGGACGGATGAGCCCTGAGACAGTCTAGACGTGTTAAAAACGAAAAAAAAAAGGTTCTTGTTTCTGATGGGAATCGAACCTCGATTCCTTGATTATCCAGCACACACCCTAGTGGCTATACAGGCTGGGCTATCTCGGTTCAATATATAAAAATAAAACTTTACTGTTCCCTACTGCGGACCTAACAGAGAACACCCAAATATGTTATGAAATGTACTCTTACCAATGAGGAGCCGGGACAACGCAGTCGGTATAGAGACTGGCTAAGGGATGGATGACTGAGGGGTCGGAGTTCCGAGTCTCTGCAGGGTCAAGAATTTTCTCTTTTCCACGTGGTCCACACCGGCCATGGGGCCCACCCAGATTCCTATACAATGAGTACCACGGGCTATGTCTCCGGGGGTAAAGCGACCGGGACGTGAAGCTGACCACTCACCTCCAACTCGTGCCGAGGTCAAGAAAAATGGATCTATACTCCACTCCCCCATACGTCTTCATGAAGTAGT